AATGATGACAGATTAGGGCCTTTTAATGATTTGTCATTGGTTTAACATGATTTTTCATTTGGAGCAACTGTAAAAATTACACAGATGACCTTTAAAGTAGTAACTGTAAAATAATACATGTAGGGTGACTACTTAATATTAGCTGGTAACTGTAACCTTACATACAGTTACCGAAAGTAATCTGAATACGTATTAGCGATACATGTATTCAGTTACTCCCCAACACAAGACAAATTAAAGTTTTTGTATTTGGTTCTGAAGCTGTAGCTGATTAGATTCATCAAGACAAAACCCAAATCTAACATTGTTTTTGTCTAAATGTTATAATCTATGTTCTGTAAACACTTGTACTTCTGTATCAAAATAATGACATCCATAACATGAGTCTGTCTCCTCAGAGCAATAACCTGGACTGGTTCCCTCGGATGCAGGCCATGTCTCTGGTGGTGACGGACGCAGACGGAGAACAGAACGAGATGAGAATGCTCCAGGACAAACTGGCCTCAACCATGAAGGTGGTCACGACTCTGACCGGTCAGCTCAACGAACTGAAGGAGCAGGTACGACACTCTTACCCCCGCAGACTGCAGACCATGTACGTCTGGTCTAACCATGTGTAAACTCTGGTCCATGATCATTTCCTACATGTACGTCTGGTCTTACCATGTGTAAACTCTGGTCCATGATCACTTCCTACATGTACGTCTGGTCTTACCATGTGTAAACTCTGGTCCATGATCATTTCCTACATGTACGTCTGGTCTTACCATGTGTAAACTCTGATCCATGGTCATTTCCTACATGTACGTCTGGGTCTGATCCTAGTGGCTGCAGTTTCCTCGGTTGAATCCCCTCCGACCAATCAGAGAGCGGGGGAGGCGGGTGTTGTAGGTCGTGTTTGCGGGCTCATGTCTAGATTTACAAAGATAACATTACAAACCTCACCTCACTGGGGGGGAAGGAGCCCGAGCTTGTGGGGGAGGTTGAGCGATACCGACTAGAGATAGTCGGCCTCACCTCCACACACAGCTTGGGCTCTGGAACCCAACTCCTTGAGAGGGGTTGGACGCTCCACTTTTCTGGTGTTTCCCGCGGGGAGAGGCGGCGAGCTGGGGTGGCCATACTCAGTGCCCCCCATCTCAGCCGCCACGTGTTGGAGTTCTCCCCGGTGAATGAGAGGGTCTCGCGTCCCTCCGCCTCCGGGTGAGGGACAAGTCTCTCACTGTTGTGACGGCCTACGGGCCTAACGGTAGTGCAGAGTACCCGGCCTTCTTGGAGTCCTTGGGAGGGGTACTGGACAGTGCACCGCCCGGGGACTCCGTTATTCTCCTGGGGGACTTCAACGCCCATGTGGGAAATGCCAGTGACACTTGGAGAGGGGTGATTGGGAAGAGCGGCCCCCCTGATCTGAACCCGAGCGGTGTTCAGTTGTTGGACTTCTGTGCCAGTCACGGCCTGTCCATCACGAACACCATGTTCGAGCACAAGGGTGTCCATCAGTGCACGTGGCACCAGGACACCCTAGGCCGGAGGTCGATGATCGACTTTGTAGTCGTATCATCTGACCTTCGACCGCGTGTCTCGGACACTCGGGTGAAGAGAGGGGCGGAGCTGTCAACCGATCATCACCTGGTCGTGAGTTGGATCCGCTGGCAGGGCAGGAGGCCGGTCAGACCTGGCAGGCCCAAGCGTGTAGTGAGGGTTTGCTGGGAACGTCTTGGTGAGCCCCCTGTCAGACGGACTTTCAACTCACACCTCCGGGAGAGCTTCTCCCAGGTCCCGGCAGAGGAGGGGGACATCGAGTCCGAGTGGACCATGTTCTCTTCCTCTATCGCCAATGCGGCGGCTCGTAGCTGTGGTCGCAAGGTCTCTGGTGCTGGTCCCGGCGGCAATCCCCGAACCCGGTGGTGGACACCGGCAGTAAGGGATGCCGTCAGGCTGAAGAAGGAGTCCTATCGAGCAATGATGGTTCGTGGGACTCCTGAGGCAGCTGTCCAGTACCGGCAGGCCAAACGTGCCGCGGCCCGGGCTGTTGCAGAGGCAAAAACCCGGGACTGGGAGGAGTTCGGAGAGTCCATGGAGCATGACTATCGGTCGGCCTCGAAGAGGTTCTGGCAAACCGTCCGGCGCCTCAGGAGGGGGAAGCAGTTCTTTGCCAACACCGTGTATGGTGCGGGTGGAGGGCTGCTGACCTCGACTGGGGATATTGTCGGGCGGTGGAAGGAATACTTCGAGGTTCTCCTCAATCCCCCCGTCACGTCCCCCGTCCAGGAGGCAGAGGCTGAGGATGTTGGGGCGGATACTTCCATCTCCCTGGCCGAGGTCACCAAGGTGGTTGGCAGCCTCCATGGTGGCAAGGCGCCGGGAGTGGATGAGATCCGTCCTGACTATCTAAAGTCTCTGGATGTTGTAGGACTGTCTTGGCTGACACGTCTCTGCAACATCGCGTGGCGATCGGGGGCGGTGCCAATGGAGTGGCAGACCGGGGTGGTGGTCCCTCTCTACAAGAAGGGGGACCGGAGGGTGTGTTCCAATTATCGTGGGATCACACTCCTCAGCCTCCCCGGTAAGGTCTACTCCAAGGTACTGGAGAGGAGGCTTCGTCCGATGGTCGAATCTCGGATTCAGGAGGAGCAGTGTGGTTTTCGTCCCGGTCGCGGAACACTGGACCAGCTCTATACTCTCCATCGGATACTCGAGGGTTCATGGGAGTTCGCCCAACCTGTCCACATGTGCTTTGTGGATTTGGAGAAGGCGTTCGACCGCGTTCCCCGGGGTGTCCTTTGGGGGGTCCTCCGGGAGTACGGGGTCCGGGGTCCTCTGCTGAGGGCTGTTCGGTCCCTGTATGACCGGAGCCAGAGCTGTGTTCGCATTGCTGGCAGTAAGTCAGACCTGTTCCCGGTGCATGTTGGCCTCCGCCAAGGCTGCCCTTTGTCACCGGTTCTGTTCACTGTATTTATGGACAGAATCTCTAGGCGCAGCCAGGGGCCGGAGGGGGTCCGGTTCGGGAACCACAGGATTTCATCTCTACTTTTTGCGGATGATGTCGTCCTGCTGGCTCCAACGAACCAGGACCTGCAACATGCACTGGGACGGTTTGCAGCCGAGTGTGAAGCGGCTGGGATGAGAATCAGCACCTCCAAATCCGAGGCCATGGTGCTTGACCGGAAAAAGGTGCCTTGCCCTCTCCAGGTGGGTGGAGAGGTCCTTCCTCAAGTGGAGGAGTTCAAGTATCTCGGGGTCTTGTTCACGAGTGAGGGGAGGATGGAGCGTGAGATTGACAGGCGGATCGGTGCAGCGTGCGCAGTGATGCGGTCTCTGTATCGGACCGTTGTGGTAAAGAGGGAGCTGAGCCGAAAGGCAAAGCTCTCAATTTACCGGTCAATCTTCGTTCCCTCCCTCACCTATGGTCATGAGCTGTGGGTAATGACCGAAAGAACGAGATCGCGGATACAAGCGGTCGAAATGAGCTTCCTCCGCAGAGTGGCTGGGCGCTCCCTTAGAGATAGGGTGAGGAGCTCGGTCACACGGGAGGAGCTCGGAGTAGAGCCGCTGCTTCTCCACGTCGAGAGGAACCAGTTGAGGTGGCTCGGGCATCTGTTCAGGATGCCTCCTGGACGCCTTCCTGGGGAGGTGTTCCGGGCACGTCCCACCGGGAGGAGGCCCCGGGGAAGACCCAGGACACGCTGGAGAGACTATGTCTCTCAGCTGGCCTGGGAACGCCTAGGGGTCCCCCCGGACGAGCTTGAGGAGGTGTGTGTGGATAGGGAAGTCTGGGCGTCTCTGCTTAGACTGCTGCCCCCGCGACCCGGCAACGGATAAAGCGGAAGAAAATGGATGGATGGATGGAACATTACAAACCCTGAGTGAGAAGCGTACGGTTTCTGAGCGAGAGGAGGTTTCACTGTAAATCATTTGGAGTCAAAGTGAGTTGGAGCAAAACTTCATTACCGGGCTTTATTGAGCTAGCGGGTTAGCACTGTCCTAGCCTGGTTGTACCACACCATAGTACAAATTACATTACAGAGTGTACGGATGGCTAAGGCCAAGCTAGCACTGTCCACTCTCTCTACAGTCTCTTATTTTACCTGTAAATATGTGTCTCTATGGTGTGTGTGTGTGTGTGTGTGTGTGTGTGTGTGTGTGTGTGTGTGTGTGTGTGTGTGTGTGTGTGTAGATGACAGAGCAGAGGAAGAGGAGGCAGAGGATGGGTTTTGTGGACGGAGCCACACCTGGACCTCCGAGTGCCGCTGGAGGGAACCATCAGATCTACAAGTCCTGAGCGTCTGTGGCCGCACTGGGGGAGTCTTGCACTGTTTTTCCAATGTGGTTTTACTGCAAATGGCAAATACATTTGTGAATCTTTAAGTCCATTAGTTGTCGTCCACATCTGGCTGCGTCAGACCTGCTGGAGTCTAAATGTAACGCCGTTTCACTGCTGTATTGTCGTGTGGGTTTCTTTTCATGTTTGAAGCACTTTTCTCACGGTTTATTTATACTTAGAATAAAAAGCTAGAAATATTTTTACTGAAAACATTTGTACAAAACTGACATGGGTTTGTTTCCATAAGAATATTGACGAGTTTTAACTTATTTATGTGTTGTAGTCTTAGATTGGGAGTGTGTGATTTCTGTGGGTGTTCTTATGGTGTCAACTTGTAAATAAATGAATAAATTATTAGTCAACATGTTTGTTTTTTTAATGTATTTTTTCTGTGATTTCAAAACAAACGAATTGCTCAGTCCATGAATAACTCAAGTCTTTATTCACAAGTTTCCACAGGATACAGGACTTTTATACATGTATGGGTCGTCATGAGTTAGAATCTGCTTCGGTCTGTTCTGAGCATTTGGTCCATTTTCACTTGTGATTGGTCCATAAAATATCAATCCTTCATAGTCTTTGTTCTGATGGTCTGAAAGTTCTGAGACCAGTTCCATTGGACACTTTCAGAATCAAATCCTGTCAAACACATTCAACATTTTACATATTGGTCTTGCTTTTCTGAATCAATCTCTCAAGAAGCAAAAGACCGAGGTACCGATGGTACTGTAGCTGAAGACCTATGGTACTGATGGTACTGTAGCAGAAGACCTATGGTACTGTAGCATAAGACCGAGGTACTGATGGTACTGTAGCAAAAGACCTATGTTACTGATGGTACTGTAGCAAAAGACCTATGGTACTGATGGTACTGTAGCAGAAGACCTATGGTACTGTAGCAAAAGACCTATGGTACTGATGGTACTGAGTACCTAGGTGAGCAGAAGACCTAGGTACTGATGGTACTGTAGCAGAAGACCAATGGTACTGATGGTACTGTAGCAAATGAAACCTATGGTACTGTAGCAAAAGACCTATGGTACTGATGGTACTGTAGCAGAAGACCTAGGTACTGATGGTACTGTAGCAGAAGACCAAGGTACTGATGGTACTGTAGCATAAGACCTATGTTATTGATGGTACTGTAGCAGAAGACCGAGGTACTGATGGTACTGTAGCAGAAGACCAAGGTACTGATGGTACTGTAGCATAAGACCTATGTTATTGATGGTACTGTAGCAAAAGACCTATGGTACTGATTGTACTGTAGAAAAAGACCGAGGTTCTGATGGTACTGTAGCAGAAGACCTATGGTACTGATGGTACTGTAGCAGAAGACCTATGGTACTGATGGTACTGTAGCATAAGACCTAGGTACTGGTAGTACTGATGGTACTGTAGCATAAGATCTAGGTACTGATGGTACTGGTGGTGGTATAAGACCTAGGTACTGATGGTACTGGTGCTGGAATAAGACCTAGGTACTGATGGTACTGGTGCTGGAATAAGACCTAGGTACTGATGGTTCTGGTGCTGGTATAAGACCTAGGTACTGATGGTTCTGGTGGAGGTCTAGAAGAACTTGAGAGATTGATCCAGAGAAGCGACACTGATATGAGGGGAAATAATAAGGACACGAAGCCGTTTGACGACACGACAAACCACTAATAAAATCCCAAACGGACCTTGAAGAAGAACCATAAAGAAAACACATCTTCAGCCAAAGTCTCTTGTTTGTGCAAAAACATGAGAAAGTATCAGAAAAGTCATTCATAGAGCAGTATATTACAGTAAAGTACCCAGAGGGAAAAGCAGAAGGATGTTTTCTACATTCAACCAGTCCGACATAACTGCTTTAAAAAGTTACACTACAAATATCTGTGTAAATGCTAAACTAACTATTTGTGCAGTTCGTGTTAAAACCTAAAGGATTTCCTCATTATTGTCACTACTTTTGATGTGAACATACAAAACGGCTGATTCATAAACAATTACCTAAAATCATTCATATACCAAAATTATACAAAGTCTTTCAAGCCTCACACTTTGTTCAGTACCATTTAACCAGTGCATTCAGAACATTCAGTACAGTACCAGGGTTTGGACAGATTTTTCAAGATTCATAATAACAAATATAATATAGAGATTAGTAGTAAACAGTAAAACCAAAAAGTCACACACATAAGAAAATACTCAGAGATCCATAGTAATATATTATCTTTGTTTTATGAGAGTTCGTTCTTGTCCCGGAGGCGCAGCGGTGAAGCCTTGTAGAAAAGAACTGTACAAACGTGTGAAGGACTACAAACATGGTGGAGTCGGAGGCAGCCTCAGCCTTTCCATCCGTCCCAGATGGGATTCCTGCGAGAAACAGTTTGGAGAGGGTCAAGAAACAATAAACTAGTCTCTCCCGTCAACACAAGTCAAAGTTCTATCCTCAAAACAGTGAGATACGATCAAACTTTAAAGTATCGGAGACTTGCTGATCCCGAAAGAATGCTTTTAATTGCTTAAAGATATTGTGGAGAGTCAGTATCTTTCAGACATGGAGTTTTAACACTATTTGATATTGTGCAGTGCAGTGATTCTGTAGTGCATGTTTTAGTGGCAGGGGAAACCGGAGCACCAGGAGGAAAACTATACGCAGACATGTAATTTCAACTGCATTACAATAAGACACACATGTAGCTGTGGGCCGGATAGAATTGCTTAGAAAACTGATTCAGAAATATTTCAACACATTAAACACTTTTTTACGCATAATTTGCACTTTTCGGTCGAGTCGTTTTCTCACAGAGGTTTGTACGAAGGTCTCCGGACTTTGGGCCATTTCTTGAGTCTCTCCACAGATCTGTCAGGGCTGTATCTGTGGGAATCAGACTCACTGTGGCCCCGCCTCTCTGTGGAACACAAACACTGGTTAATCACAAAACGTTGGAATATTTTATCAAACATGTCGTGTTTCGAGACGGCCGTCGACAAACACATGGTATTGGAATCGGACACATCTGCAGCCACATGATGGTATAAGACCTATAGGTACTGATGGTATAAGACCAGGTACTGATGGTATAAGACCTATAGGTACTGATGGTATAAGACCTATAGGTACTGATGGTATAAGACCTATAGGTACTGATGGTATAAGAACCTATAGGTACTGATGGTATAAGACCTATAGGTACTGATGGTATAAGACCTATAGGTACTGATGGTATAAGACCTATAGGTACTGATGGTATAAGACCTATAGGTACTGATGGTATAAGACCTATAGGTACTGATGGTATAAGACCTATAGGTACTGATGGTATAAGACCTATAGGTACTGATGGTATAAGACCTATAGGTACTGATGGTATAAGACCTATAGGTACTGATGGTATAAGACCTAGGTACTGATGGTATAAGACCTATAGGTACTGATGGTATAAGACCTATAGGTACTGATGGTATAAGACCTATAGGTACTGATGGTATAAGACCTATAGGTACTGATGGTATAAGACCTATAGGTACTGATGGTATAAGACCTATAGGTACTGATGGTATAAGACCTATAGGTACTGATGGTATAAGACCTATTGGTACTGATGGTATAAGACCTATTGGTACTGATGGTATAAGACCAGGTACTGATGGTATAAGACCAGGTACTGATGGTATAAGACCTAGGTACTGATGGTATAAGACCTAGGTACTGATGGTATAAGACCAGGAACTGATGGTATAAGACCTAGGTACTGATGGTATAAGACCAGGAACTGATGGTATAAGACCAGGTACTGATGGTATAAGACCAGGTGTACCTTGCTTGTCGGCTTTGGGGTTACATTGTCGGTGTCCTTTGCACGCACGCAGCGCCATCAGCTCCACGTGGAGTTGGTTCAAGACCCCTCTGTCCAGAGTCGACACTGCATTAATCAGCTACAACAATATAAACGAGAATACTTAGTCACTTCTGATATGAATGAGTGCTATGAAGATATTTACACACATAATGATGTATTGGCAAAGTACCATAGTACCTGGTAAGGGTCAATAGTAAGATCAAAGTACTCCAGGAAACCAGTGGCAAACTCACAGAAGAGGAAGTTGTGAGTTTGGTTGATGGTTCGGAGACACCAGTATGTGTTGTTGTTGGCACTGGTGCAGGCGCAGAATGGACCCACTGGAAAAGGACATTTAGATTTGGAAGTTTTGACAATCTCCAGTAGTTTGCAGTAGTTGCAGTACGTACGTGTCCAGCTAGGGGGCGTGGCCCAGTGCTCATTGTCGTGGGTGAAACAGGTGAGCCCGGGCATTGAACAAGTGTCGTTGTTTTTTAATCGTTTGATCATTTTCCTAATTTTCTTCCTTCGTCTCTGCTCCTTCTCAAGCCACGCCCACTTTCCTTTGGACAAACCTTTTCTGTGATAGAAGCAAAGTCTATAATAAATGTACCCATGTAGAAACAATAGTGTGAATAAGGCAGATTCTGACCTGAAGGGATGACGTTTCTTTAGTTTTTTCTTCAATTTCAACTTTGCCCTGAGACATTTTGTGATTAGGAATAGGACGATAACACAAAACGACAACAATGCTAATAAAAGGTGGCAAAGAAGTAAACTCACAACTGTTTGACTGACAAGTGCCGCCTGCAGTCGCACTTGAAGGGCCGGGCCTTCTTTAGATGACCTCTGACTTCTCGGAGATTTTTGATCTTTGACTGAAGCGTCTCAATCTGAAACACAGAAAACGCTTTAATTAGAAAAGTCAGAACTATCTAAAAAACTAGAATCACTATCAAGATTTTGTTCTTTGAAGTGCTGCAGAGAGACACATGCATTTCTATCCTGGTCTTACCATGTGTAAACTCTGGTCCATGGTCATTTCCTACATGTACGTCTGGTCTTACCATGTGTAAACTCTGGTCCATGGTCATTTCCTACATGTACGTCTGGTCTTACCATGTGTAAACTCTGGTCCATGGTCATTTCCTACATGTACGTCTGGTCTTACCATGTGTAAACTCTGGTCCATGATCATTTCCTACATGTACGTCTGGTCTTACCATGTGTAAACTCTGGTCCATGGTCATTTCCTACATGTACGTCTGGTCATACCATGTGTAAACTCTGGTCCATGGTCATTTCCTACATGTACGTCTGGTCTTACCATGTGTAAACTCTGGTCCATGATCATTTCCTACATGTACGTCTGGTCTTACCATGTGTAAACTCTGGTCCATGGTCATTTCCTACATGTACGTCTGGTCTTACCATGTGTAAACTCTGGTCCATGGTCATTTCCTACATGTACGTCTGGGTCTGATCCTAGTGGCTGCAGTTTCCTCGGGTGAATCTCCTCCGACCAATCAGAGAGCGGGGGAGGCGGGTGTTGTAGGTCGGTGTCGGTGACGTCAAGAGTTTGTGCTGAATTTGCTGGTTGTAGTTTGTCGGAGAATGTGAAAGTAAAATAATCTGTTCTGGTCATGGATCTATAATAATAACTGGATAGAGTATTACTAGCTTACAGCTGTCCCACCCATGGGCACAGGGGGCGCTGTGGTGCTGCAAATTCACGTGGGCTACCCAGAAAAATGACATGTGATGTGTCAGGTCATTTTCTACCCCTTTATTATTCCATTCATCCTTCATCCTCAAATCCTTCAGTTTTCTTTAAATCCACACTTTACTGCACAAACTCTGCTTGTTTCCTTCCCGCTCTGGCTCCACTCTGATCAGCAGCTCTGATTGGCCGAGCCCCTTTGTGCGCGTGCATGAGAGATACACACGCGTATTTTTTTACAAAGCATCATGGGAGCTCGTCCACTGCGCAGAACCGGGAGGACCAGACGATCCCAAAATATAGGTGAGTTCCGCTAATCTTTCTGTCCTCCTGTATGTCCCATGCGCTACTGAGCATCCCCCATTCATTTGAAAGGGACGCCATCTTGGATCACCGGGGCTTGGTTCTGGTTCAATCCAAATATCAAGAAACTGAAGCCGGAGCAAGAGGAATGTTTAGTAAATGTCATTGAAGCAAAGATGTTGTGGCTCTGCTCCCCACGGGCTCCGTTAGTGACAAAGGAGATGGTTAAAGCTAGGCTACATGCTAAAGCTAGGCTAAATGCTAAAGCTAGGCTACATGCTAAATGCCGCACTCACTCGGGCTCATTACATACGTCACAGTAAACTCAGATCCAATGGTTTCAATCTGCAAAAGGAGTTAGCCCCTCCCACCTGTTAACGGAGTCAATGGAGCAAATCCAGACCTTAGTACAGAATGAAATGAGTACCATGGTGCGGTAAGACCAGGCTTTTTCAGTTCAAGTGTTGTGCAGGTTTGAAATGGACACATTCAATATAAAAAAACTATATCAAGAACTTGATCCTAAACCAAACATACGCTTTGTGGTTCTCGAGGTTACCTGGTGGTCCACAGTGAGCTTGTGGTCCTTCCACTCCTGCAGGTTCTTGTAGAGTCTGGAGTCACAGCTCACACTGGAGTTGGACAGAATCACACACCTGAGAAACACAATCACACACCTGAGAAACACAATCACACACCTGAGAAACACAATCACACACCTGAGAAACACAATCACACACCTGAGAAACACAATCACACACCTGAGAAACACAATCACACACCTGAGAAACACAATCACACACCTGAGAAACACAATCACACACCTGAGAAACACAATCACACACCTGAGAAACACAATCACACACCTGAGAAACAGAATTACACACCTGAGAAACACAATCACACACCTGAGAAACACAATCACACACCTGAGAAACACAATCACACACCTGAGAAACAGAATTACACACCTGAGAAACACAATCACACACCTGAGAAACACAATCACACACCTGAGAAACAGAGCTGTCCAAACCTGCTTCACGAGGGATACATAGTACATTTACAATGCAGTAATCTGGTCTTACCATGTGTAAACATGGTGTAAACATGGTAAGACCAGATCATTAAAGGGCCCTAATCTGTCCAAAGGCATGAATAAAACCTGCTCTTTTCCAATAGTTCTTAAACTGATAACAGTAGTTCAGAGATATTTGGATTTCTAAATTGTTTCCTTTTTCATGTCCCACCGTTTAACCAATCAGAAAGTCTGTGATCCGGGCGTCAGAACTCACCACGTGGAGCTAATCTCACTGGTAAAGTACCATGTGGCGCAGAACTAAAAAAGGTCTCGTTATGATTCTCAAATCATTAACGACAAAACAAGGAATAAAACCAGGATTTCTATCTTTGAGAAAAAGGTGTTGGTTATAGATTTGTTGTTGACAAAACTCTTGTCCATTCAGCTGTTATGGTCCCAGCTGGATTCGTCTGCATATCTGGCAACCTGAGTCAGGGAGAGAGGGAGAGGCTGCAGACTTACCGTTGTGTAACCTTCACAGCGTCCTCAGGAGCCGGTCCAGACCCGCTCATGTCCGTCTCTCTGTCGGACTTGGCCCATGCTCCCTCTCCCCAGCTGCCATTGCCCTGGACTCCACGGTCAAGAAGGAAGACGTGGTCGCCGTGGTTACTGTCACCGGGTAAAGAGTTACTGATTGAGCGGCTGTAGCGGGTTGTGGAGAAACTCTTCAGAAACTTCATCTCTGTCCACAAACACACAAGATGAGTTTTAAAATGACAGACACATCTATATTTAGTGAGTTAGAGTTTCAGATGAATATATGATACAATCTGGTCAGATGGCGGTAAAATAACAGAATTACTTTGGGATATTTCCAATAAAATAGGGTTAGTAAAAATGCAAATCGACACAAACAAATGTGTGCATCCAATCCATGTGATTTAACAACAGGGAATTAACTGCTTACATTTCTGAAATGGGTGACTCTTCAGCTATGGAGAAAAAAGAAAGTTCAGATTTTTACATTTCCTAAATTAGATGAGCAGTTAGACAGATGTTCAGAAAAAAATAATACATTTTTAATTAATATAAAATAGTTTTGAATAATTCTGAATAGTTCTATATTAGAGCACCCTGGTCCAGTTCAGTGGGATGGAGCAACAACATAATTCATTTTAAATGTGTTATTTACTGGTAAAAAATATTATAATTGTATATTTTTTTATAAAAAGAATAAAAGTTGTCCTTGAGGATCATTTCCATCAAATCACAAACTGAACCGTTGTTAGTTTGTCTTAACGTAACGTAGCATTGTTAGCATGTAGCATTGTTAGCATGTAGAATTGTTAGCCATGTAGCATTGTTAGCATGTAGAATTGTTAGCCATGTAGCAGTATTAGCATTTAAAAGTGCTAGCGGTAAAGTTTGTAAGTTCAAGAAAATGTATTTTTTTCAATGTGAGCAAATTCAAAAGACAAAGTTTCAGTTGTTGTATTTTGTGTAAATTTAATGCTAACGCTAACACCATTGATTAGCATGCTATCAAAGTTTGAGGTTGTGTGGTAAAAATAATAGTAGTTAAATAATAAAATGTAATAGAAATTGTAAAATCACAATCACAAATGGACACTAGACTTTAGCTACAACACTTCACTAAACAATATTTATGAAAATCCAATTTAGATTTGACTCAGATTTGTCCATAGTTAAAGAATCACCCATTAATATTCAGCCTGTCCATGAATTCTAGTCAAAGATGTTTCTGTGACTGTGGAATGAGGTGAGTGTGGATTAGAGGCCTCAAAACCTACGCTTTTTAAAGAAGGGTTTACTGAAAGACTTTTTGGTCTTGGATTTTGCAAAAGGCAGAGTGCGGAGGTCACAGTCGCAGTCGTCGTCCTGGTAACGGTGGCCCTTGAAGCTGATTGGTCGGTTGTTAGAAAAAATGTTCTTGGGCCCAGTTTCTGTTTTACACTTAAACAAGCGCAATTTCCCGCTGGAGTCCTCCACACACTGCCACTTCTGCAAAAGATCAGAACACACCGTTTCTACACCGTTCTACACTTGTGGAAAAGCAAAAAAAATGACTTTATAATCTGCACAAAGGTCCATTACAAACTGCATCAGATTGATACAAATTTAATTATAGGCCTAACAATTTTTACACACCCTACAAGATCCCTAATCTGTAATCATTAATCTGTTTAATGATGACAGATTATGGCCCTTTAATGATGACGGATTAGAGTCCTTTAATGATGACAGATTAGGGCCCTATAATGATGACAGATTAGGGCCCTTTAATGACGACAGATTAGGGCCTTTAATGATGACAGATTAGAGCCCTTTAATGATGACAGATTAGAGCCCTTTAATTATGACAGATTAGGGCCCTTTAATGATGACAGATTAGGGCCCTTTAATTATGACAGAATAGGGCCCTTTAATGATAACAGATTATGGCCCTTTAATGATGATAGATTAGAGCCCTTTAATTATGACAGATTAGAGCCCTTTAATTATGACAGATTAGGGCCCTTTAATGATGATAGATTAGAGCCATTTAATTATGACAGATTAGAGCCCTTTAATTATGACAGATTAGAGCCCTTTAATTATGACAGATTAGAGCCCTTTAATTATGACAGATTAGAGCCCTTTAATTATGACAGATTAGGGCCCTTTAATGATGATAGATTAGAGCCCTTTAATTATGACAGATTAGAGCCCTTTAATTATGACAGATTATGGCCCTTTAATGATGATAGATTAGAACCCTTTAAAGGAATAGTTCACCGTTTGTACATACTGACATATGTTCTTACCTTACCTTAGACTAGTTAATACGTACCTGTCTGGTCTTAGTCCGTGCGCTCTGTCATGCAAACGGAGCAAAAACGGGAGCACAACCGCAGCCTCCTCTGTATATTTTGTAGCACCAAAAGGTAGCTCCCGCTAGAAGCTACCGAACTCTTCCAAGTGTTCCCTATTAAATGTATATAGTTACGTGACGTGTTACACTGCAAAGTATAGTAACACAGAAATGTAACAGTCGATTTTCTCAGCGGATAAAACGGGTACTATATTGTGAGGCGTAGTAATCTGAGGGGCGCTACGTCCGCGCACTAACTTCTGTCCGGAGACTTCTCTCTCGCTCACTTCCGTCAATAGAAGCAGCGTGACTTGTAATACACACAGTAGCAGCGAGAGAGAAGTCTCCGGAGAGAAGTTAGTGCGCAGATAAGTTAGGAGCGCTACGTCCGCGCACTAACTTCTCTCCGGAGACTTCTCTCTCGCTGCTACTGTGTGTACTAAAAGTCACGCTGCTTCTATTGACGGAAGTGAGCGAGAGAGAAGTCTCCGGAGAGAAGTTAGTGCGCGGACGTAGCGCTCCTAACTTATCTGCGCACTAACTTCTCTCCGGAGACTTCTCTCTCGCTGCTACTGTGTGTTTTACAAGTCACGCTGCTTCTATTGACGGAAGTGAGCGAGAGAGAAGTCTCCGGAGAGAAGTTAGTGCGCGGACGTAGCGCCCCTCTGATTACTACGCCTCACAATATAGTACCCGTTTTATCCGCTGAGAAAATCGACTGTTACATTTCTGTGTTACTATACTTTGCAGTGTAACACGTCACGTAACTATATACATTTAATAGGGAACACTTGGAAGAGTTTGGTAGCTTCTAGCGGGAGCTACCTTTTGGTGCTACAAAATATACAGAGGAGGCTGCGGTTGTGCTCCCGTTTTTGCTCCGTTTGCATGACAGAGCGCACGGACTAAGACCAGACAGGTACGTATTAACTAGTCTAAGGTAAGGTAAGAACATATGTCAGTATGTAAAAACGGTGAACTATTCCTTTAATTATGACAGATTAGGGCCCTTTAATGATCACTAGACATGAATGTAACCACAATAAATACACAGAGTCTCATCATGTTTTGTGCGTATGTAGTCTAATCTTGTGTTGTCTGTAGTCTAATGTTGTGTTGTCTGTAGTCTAATGTTGTGTTGTCTGTAGTCTAATGTTGTGTTGTCTGTAGTCTAATGTTGTGTAGCAGAGACCGACCTGCCCGGAGGTGGAGCAGGGCAGGTGCAGCTCCTCTCGGTCACACAGTTCCCTCATTCGCTGCTGTTTGGGCAGAGAGTTTTCTTCAGACTTCTCCTGTTTGTCGTTCACTAAACCAGGGAGCAACTTCCTGCACAACAGACACCACAATGTATTACTCTGTCAGGTCCTCTGTCAGGTTCTCTGTCAGGTTCTCTGTCAGGTCCTCTGTCAGGTCCTCTGTCAGGTCCTCTGTCAGGTCCTCTGTCAGGTCCTCTGTCAGGTCCTCTGTCAGGTTCTCTGTCAGGTTCTCTGTCAGGTTCTCTGTCAGGTCCTCTGTCAGGTCCTCTGTCAGGTCCTCTGTCAGGTCCTCTGTCAGGTCCTCTGTCAGGTCCTCTGTCAGGTTCTCTGTCAGGTCCTCTGTCAGGTCCTCTGTCAGGTCCTCTGTCAGGTCCTCTGTCAGGTCCTCTGTCAGGTCCTCTGTCAGGTCCTCTGTCAGGTCCTCTGTCAGGTCCTCTCTGTCAGGTCCTCTGTCAGGTCCTCTGTCAGGTCCTCTCTGTCAGGTCCTCTGTCAGGTCCTCTGTCAGGTCCTCTGTCAGGTCCTCTGTCAGGTCCTCTGTCAGGTCCTCTGTCAGGTCCTCTGTCAGGTCCTCTGTCAGGTCCTCTGTCAGGTTCTCTGTCAGGTCCTCTGTCAGGTCCTCTGTCAGGTCCTCTGTCAGGTTCTCTGTCAGGTCCTCTGTCAGGTCCTCTGTCAGGTCCTCTGTCAGGTTCTCTGTCAGGTCCTCTGTCAGGTCCTCTCTGTCAGGTCCTCGGTCAGGTTCTCTGTCAGGTCCTCGGTCAGGTTCTCGGTCAGGTTCTCGGTCAGGTCCTCTGTCAGGTCCTCTGTCAGGTCCTCTGTCAGGTCCTCTGTCAGGTCCTCTGTCAGGTCCTCTGTCAGGTCCTCTGTCAGGTCCTCTGTCAGGTCCTCTGTCAGCTGAGGTTAAGCTGTTTTTAGTTTAAACCGAGTAGCCCACATGAATGTAGTCTGCAGTACCACAGCGCCCCCTGTGGCCATAAACTAGTAGTACTCTATCCAGATAATATTTCAGATCCATGCTTGAGACAGAGGGACAGTGATTTTACAATTGAAATGTTTTTATTACTTAAAAAGTAATAAAAACATTTACAACACTGATTATACAGGTTCAAACTGTATAACCAGGCTTTTGGAAATTTATTGAAACCCTGATTACATCGACTCCAGTTCACGTCCAGGACTTACCCTCTCTCCACCAGGAACGAGTCTCTCCAGTTCACAGCCTTCTTGTTCAACTGGAACCTGCCACAAAACAAACAAACATAAAAAAGCAGAGAAAACACATTTTCTCTTTTTTGTCAGAGGCGGAAAGGTACATAGACACAGGGAGAACATGCAAACTCCACGCAGGCACCAGGAGTCAGAGCCTGGACCCTCAGTTGTGTCGCCCAATCCACCAAGTCTATTTAGTTTATTATTAGTAATGTTAATGTTATAATTAATTCATTGTCTTTATGCCATCTTTATATATACATTCTAATATTATATTTATAATTTTGTTAATTTTTTTGTATTCTTGTTATATATATATATAAATAAATTTTATTATTTTACTTTATTTTTTATTATTATTAATGTATCTATATTGTCTTTATTATAATTTTTATTTTACATTTATTATTATTATTAGTTATTTATTATTATTGTTTTTCTGTTTAATATTAATAAACCTTTCTTTTTCTTTAATCCATTTTTATATACACATTGTATTACTTTATATAGAAATGTGTTCATTTTTAATTTGACTATAGTTTGTATTTTTTACTATTATTATTATTATTATAAATTTATTCATTATTTTTTTATTCTTTTTATGTAATCATCGCCTTGAATTGTGACATTCTGATCATTTGACCTCAAAACGCAAAACACAAAAGCAAAAGACTTTCCAAAATCAACTATCAACACAGTTACTGATCAATGTATATTTAATTTACAGAACTATAAGTAAATAAGATCAAAGAGATGAGATGAGTGAAATACCGGTTTCCTGGAGAGCCCAGGTCCAGCAGCCCCAGCACCGAACTGCCATCCATGTCTGACGGAGGGTCGAGTCCCGCTATGTCCAGGATGGTGGGAGCCAGGTCTATGTTCAGGACCATCTCCGAAACACTTCAAACAGAACACAGACATTTCATCGTCATCAATACTTTTATTTAAAGTAGTAGGAAGTAGTTAAAGTAGTAATATGTAAGATTTTCATGTCTAATCATTAAAGGCCCTAATCTGTCATCATTAAAGGGCCCTAATCTGTCATAATTAAAGGGCCCTAATCTGTCATCATTAAAGGGCCCTAATCTGTCATTATTAAAGGGCCCTAATCTGTCACCATTAAAGGGCCCTAATCTGTCATCATTAAAGGGCTCTAAGATGTCATCATTAAAGGGCCCTAATCTGTCTTCATTAAAGGGCCCTAATCTGTCATCATTAAAGGGCCCTAATCTGTCATCATTAAAGGACCCTAATCTGTCATCATTAAAGGGCCCTAATCTGTCCTCATTAAAGGGCCCTAATCTGTCATTATTAAAGGGCCCTAATCTGTCATCATTAAAGGGCCCTAATCTGTCATCATTAAAGGACCCTAATCTGTCATCATTAAAGGGCCCTAATCTGTCCTCATTAAAGGGCCCTAATCTGTCCTCATTAAAGGGCCCTAATCTGTCATTATTAAAGGGCCCTAATCTGTCATAATAATAAACTGCTCTTTTCCAATACTTCTTTAACTGATAACAGTAGTTCAGAAATAATTGAATTTCTAAATGTCTAAATCTTGTTATTGTTTTCATTTCGATGTCCCGCCCTCCACCGTTTCACCAATCAGAAAGTCTGTGATCCGGGCGCCAGAACTCACCGCGTGGAGCTAATCTCACTGGTAAAGTACCATGTGGCGCAGAACTAAAAAAGGTCTCGTTACGATTCTCAAATCATTAACGACAAAACAAGGAATAAAACCAGGGAAAAAAAGGTGTTGGTTATAGATTTGTTGTTGACAAAACTCTTGTCTATTCAGCTGTTATGGTCCCAGCTGGATTCGTCTGCATATCTGGCAACCTGAGTCAGGCCACATTTTAATTGCAAAAGGGAGCTAATTGATTATACTTTTGTATGAATTCAGGCAAAGGGCGGAGTTGACACTTTCCTAGTTCTTCTCCACTTGCACAACAAGGGGCGGAGCTATGAAAAACAGGCCACGCCTCCTTTAGCACTTAGCACAGGTAAATAGAATAGCAGCTGAAGGAGGAACAAGGCAGGAAGTGGCTATACCTCCTCTGGCTGAAACTGCAGACACAGCAAAACAACCCAAAAGATGCAAAAATGAGGAAAAGAAACTGAAGCCAAAAAATGACCAAAGAAGAAATCAAGCCCGTATGAATTGGGCCTGAACTGGTCCCAGAGTAAACCGGTCTCACCTGTGTCCCTGTTGTATGTCTGGACCCCTGACGAAAAACGGAACTCTGATATCGAACTCGTACGGCATTGATTTACCTACGAACACAAAAAGAGGTTTCTGTTTTAAACCTTTAGTCCACTTTGTGATGTCTCCGACTGCCACCGCCTCCACCAGAAATGGATTAAGGGGAAGAAAATAGATGGATGTATAACGCTTCAGGGGCAGAGAACCCAAGAGGACTCCCAGCAGCAAAAGAAAAACACCATTACTGTAGCACTATTATACAACATGGGTGTCAAAGTCAAGGCCCGGGAGCCAGATCTGGCCCGCGAATGAATGTTCTTGGTCCTGGGATGATATTTGATTCGTTTTGGAACCGGCTGCACAGAGACATAAGAACATTTGGGATTATTTACTTGAAGAAGCAATATATAAGATTTTCATGTCAAGTAATCATTAAAGGGCCCTAATCTGTCATAATTAAAGGGCCCTAATCTGTCATCATTAAAGGGCCCCAATCTGTAATCATTAAAGGGCCCTAATCTGTCATCATTAAAGAGCCCTAATCTGTCATAATTAAAGGGCCCTAATCTGTCATCATTAAAGGGCCCCAATCTGTAATCATTAAAGGGCCCTAATCTGTCATAATTAAAGGGCCCTAATCTGTCATCATTAAAGGGCCCCAATCTGTAATCATTAAAGGGCCCTAATCTGTCATCATTAAAGGGCCCTAATCTGTCATAATTAAAGGGCCCTAATCTGTCATCATTAAAGGGCCCCAATCTGTAATCATTAAAGGGCCCTAATCTGTCATCATTAAAGGGCCCTAATCTGTCATCAATAAAGGGCCCTAATCTGTCATCATTAAAGGGCCCTAATCTGTCATAATAATAAACTGCTCTTTTCCAATACTTCTTTAACTGATAACAGTAGTTCAGAGATATTTGAATTTCTTAATTAGTTTTCCAGCCCCTAAATCTTGTTATTGTTTTCATTTTGATGTCCCGCCCTCCACCGTTTCTCCAATCAGAAAGTCTGTGATCCGGGCGCCAGAACTCACTGCGTGGAGCTAATCTCACTGGTAAAGTACCATGCGGCGCAGAACTAAAAAGGGTCTCGTTATGATTTTCAAATCATTAACGACAAAACAAGGAATAAAACCAGGATTTCTATCTTTGTGAAAAAGGTGTTGGTTATAGATTTGTTGTTGACAAAACTCTTGTCTATTCAGCTGTTATGGTCCCAGCTGGATTCGTCTGCATATCTGGCAACCTGAGTCAGGGAGAGTGGGAGAGGCTGCAGTACCACTTTTGGACACATTTTTACACACTGTTCAGGACATGATTTTGTTTTTGATTTTCTTTGACGGAAGTTTGTTTTTCTCTAAGTTGAAGTGATTTACGGAGCCACAAAAATATTAATTTAATCATTAAATAAAACACGGTCCACTGTGTTAGGTCTTAGTTCAACAGTTTTTATGCATCATTTTAATATGTTTTGATAAACTTTGAACCAGTCCGGCCTTCGTCTTGAAGCTCATGTGTTTTTCTGCCTCTGATGTCTCTGACTTGGACTTTCTCGCTCCACATTATTGTTATTGTAGAAACCTGCAGTAAATGGGACATGAGCAGAGTCACTATTAACGGCTTTATCCTGCGCCCATGTTTCAAATGTTCCATCTCATTTTGAGTTATTTATATCAGGATTAACCTCTGCTCAAAGACTTTAATCCTGTGAAACAGAGCAGAACTGTTTCAGCAGAATGCACACGCTCACCGCAGCAACGTCGCATGAATCGCCAATACTTACTCAGAATACTTACTTACTTTACAGTTACTACTTTAACGCTTAGAATTGACAAAACTATGACTTTCTGAAAATCATGCAAATTCAGACTTTATCACTTTAGTTATTAGTCCCTGAAGGAGAAATGTAGGGTTCAGAAGCAGCAAAAACACATCCATAAAAACAAAACAAATGAATGGATTATTAATGTTTTAGAGTATTGACTGCCAGTCGCTTTGACTCTGATCTCACTGTTTCTCAAGACCCACAGAATATTATTTCCTAAAACTATGTGAAATATGAAACCAGATTCTGAAAGACTGGATTGTTTACTTTCATCAGCAAAAATAAGTTTGTTTCTAGCTACTTTTGTTGTCCAGTAATCCCCAGTCGAACACAGGGTCTCAGACAAATACGTCAATGGCAGTCAATGAGTTAAAGTCAAGACTGTTAAAAATGAAAGATTTATTTGTATGACAGACATTATTGATTATGTTCAGAGCACGACATTGTGGCCTTCAAATGTTCTTCTCAGTAAACCCAGGGGTGTCCAAACTTTTCAGTAAGAGGACCACATTAGTTCACCAGAGCAGTCCAGGGCCCGACATTACGGACTGAAAAACTGTCTTGACTGGGATCGGGCTGTTCTGAGCTTTAAGATGATCTTATAACACAGCTGAAGTTGGCTGAATGACACATGTTTACCATCTACAGCTACATTAGCATCAATAACAGAAGTGACACAATCAAAACCGTACATTCTGGGCATTAGAACAAGGTCTATACTCTGAGCTGAAGTTGGATGGATGACACAGTGAGCTTTATGATCTCACAGACTACTTTGTGTTAGCGAGACAGAGGGCCACATACAATGACACTGAGGGCCGCCATTAGCCCCCGGGCCTGAGTTAGGTCATGTGTTCAGTCACTCAGGAGAAGAGACAGAAGTTGTAGAGACTGGATTAACCTTTGACGAGTCCAAACTGTCCGATGTGGTATCCGTGGTCCGAGGTGTAGATGATGTAAGTGTTGTCCAGTTCCCCGGTGTCCACCAACATCTCGTACAGCTGCACACACATCCGTTAGAAAGACATTAGGACCAACAGCCACGTTTTAGCTGCTGGAAAAAGTCAAATATTGGTAACATTTATTCACTAAAAATAACAAATGACGCTTTTTTGTTGCTTGAATGTAGTAGTAAAAGATTATTTTATCAGTTTTAAGATACTTCATAATATTATCAGAGAAAAAAGTCTGAGTCGTGAGTTTTTAAGCTTGTTTGAAGTATTTTTTTTAATTCTTTCCAGACTTTTCTTGTTTAGATAAATTAAATAATAATGTATCGGTATAGGGGCGACAGTAGCTCAGTTGGTAGAGCATTGGCCTTTGAGCCTGAAAGTCGAAGTGGGTTCGAGCCCACCTCAAGACCTACTTCACAACTCCCACTGATGACTGCTGTCGTTGTGTCCTTGGGCAAGACACTTAACCCTACTTTGCCTGAAGCCCCCACTGAAAGATCTCAGCTCCTGTGGACTCAGCACCTGCAGGAGGATCAGTGAGGGGCTGGTGCTCTGTGGACTGGGTGCAGCTCTGACTGCCACCACCCCGACCCAGAAATGGATTAAGGGGAAGAAAATGGATGGATGTATGTATCGGTTTTATTCAGCACTTTTCCAGAGATAGACCAGAGAGAGACCAGAGAGAGATCAGAGAGAGACTAGAGAGAGACCAGAGAGAGACCAGAGAGAGACCAGAGAGAGACCAGAGAGAGACCAGAGAGAGATTAGAGAGAGACCAGAGAGAGACCAGAGAGAGACCAGAGAGAGACCAGAGAGAGATTAGAGAGAGACCAGAGAGAGACCAGAGAGAGACCAGAGAGAGACCAGAGAGAGACCAGAGAGAGACCAGAGAGAGACCAGAGAGAGACCAGAGAGAGATTAGAGAGAATCTTAGTAACATTTATTCACTAAAAATAACATAAATGATGTATATTTTTTTAATGGTAAGTTTTTGTTTCTTGAATGTAGTTTGTCATAAGATTATTTTATTAGTTTTAAGATACTTCATAATATTATCAGAGAAAAAAGTCTGAGCAGTGAGTTTTCCAGACTTTTCTTGTTTAGATAAATTAAATAATAATGTATCGGTTTTATTCAGCACTTTTCTAAACGCTCAAAGTCTCTTCACATCAATATTCTCTCTCTCCAAACACTGTGGTGATAAACTACTACTGTAGCCACAGCTGCCCTGGGGCACACTGACAGAAGCGAGGCAACCAGTATGCGCCATCGGCCCCTCCCACCACCACCAACCATTCACACACACACCAGACTCATTCTAATGTGGGGGAAGTGTCTTGCCTGAGGATCAGAGAGAGACCAGAGAGAGACCAGAGAGAGACCAGAGAGAGACCAGAGAGAGACCAGAGAGAGACCAGAGAGAGACCAGAGAGAGACCAGAGAGAGACCAGAGAGAGACCATAGAGAGACCATAGAGAGAGACCAGAGAGAGAGACCAGAGAGAGACCATAGAGAGACCAGAGAGAGACCAGAGAGAGACCAGAGAGAGACCATAGAGAGACCAGAGAGAGAGACCAGAGAGAGACCATAGAGAGACCATAGAGAGACCAGAGAGAGACCAGAGAGAGACCATAGAGAGACCAGAGAGAGACCATAGAGAGATTAAAGAGAGATTAAAGAGAGACCAGAGAGAGACCAGAGAGAGACCAGAGAGAGACCAGAGAGAGACCAGAGAGAGACCAGAGAGACCAGAGAGAGACCAGAGAGAGACCAGAGAGAGACTAGAGAGACCAGAGAGAGGACTTTTCTAGCCAATGCTCTACACACTGAGCTACTGTCGCTCCGAATATAAAATATAAAATGTGGATTAGATTGGATTGTTCTATTGTCAGATTATTTTTCTCATTTTCAGCAGTATTTAACTCATTTCCATGTGTTATTCGTATGTTTTCCGTGTGATGTCTGTGCTTCTGACCTGCTCCATGCTGTTGTCCACCGACTGAAGCGTCTGCAGCCGCTTCCTCTGCAGGACGTTGGTGAACTCCATGTGGATGGGCCTCATGGCGCCGGTGTACCTCATGATCCAGTGTTTGTCCGGGTTCGGGGCAAAGTTATAACTGGGTGTTCTGCCAAATAAAACACGGTCAGGGAGATGGTGCTTCAAACTGCTGCGGTTCCTCTGAATATGACGACAATAAGTTGTGTTTGTTGGTTTGAGGATTTAAAAATATGAAATCCAAACATTTTTTTTAATGTGCAAAAAAACATGGAAGAGGATGCAGCGACCAATCAGTCATTTTATTATTTATAGAATTAATATAGGAGATATACTTCAGCCCAGAGCGAGAGAGGAGGAAGAAGGGGGGAAGGAGGAGGGGAGGAGGGAGGAGAGGAGGGAGGAGAGAGGAGGGAGGAAGGAGGGAGGAGAGGAGGGAGGAGAGAGGAGGGAGAGGGGAGGAAGGAGGGAGGAGAGGAGGGAGGTGAGAGGAGGGTGAGAGGAGGAAGGAGGAGAGGAGGGAGGGAGAGGAGGGAGGAGAGAGCAGAAAGAGGGGAGGAGGGAGGAGAGGAGGGAGAGTGCAGGAAGGAGGGAGGAGAGGAAGGAGGAGAGAGGAGGGAGGAGGGGAGGAAGGATTGAGGAGAGAGAGGAGAGAAGGAGATAGAGCAGAGAGGAGAGAGGAGAAAAGGAGAGAGTATTTATCTATAGAGACCAAAGTGTTTTACAATAAAATCACATCAAAACCATTAAAACATTCATACAATCAAAAAAATAAAAGTTAAAAAAGTTTTTAGGCCAGAGTTAAAAGTCAGTCTGAATAAAAAAGTCTTGAGCCTTGATTTAAAAAGGTCAAAGTCAGTGAGGACAGGCATGTCAGGGGGCAGCTAGGTCCACAGTCTGGGGCCAGGACTGAGAAGGACCGGTGTAACGCCGAGATACACTGTCTTGAAGAGATGCACAGCCTCAGCTGTTTATGATGTAATGCAAACCTGCGCATGCGCGTCTCACGGCAACCGAAGCATACCGTGAATTGCTTTAAAAGTTGAAATACGAACGAATTCAGACACGAATGTCACTTTTAATGCAATTTGAGGCGAGATGTTGATGGTAGTAGATATATAAGACACCAGTATTGAGCAAGTGGTGAAAAGGTGGTACTGCACCCTAAAACTCCCCAGAAAGGGGACGGCGCTCTTGAGCAAGTGGTGAAAGGTGTTACTGCACGGTATTTTTCAAAGAGTTTTAATGAGTTAGATTCTGTTGACCCTGTGTGTGTGTGATAAAGTAAATGCTTCACAGTTGTCTAAAGTGATTTATGATCACGGTTTATTCTAAAACAGTTAGGAATAGCTAAGCTGCAGGGAGGACCTGTTAACGACACTTAGGTGTGTGTGTGTTTGTGTGATAGCGTTATCATGATGACGGTTGGGAGGGTGTACTAACAACAAATCAGAATGGGTGGGAGGTCTGTTTACACCGTCCTATCAGAAGTTTTTCAATGGTTCAAACGCATTACCGCTGTCTAAGAGAAGGTTATACAATATGCCTAATACAGGTAAGTTATTAATATAACATTTTGCAGTATTCATATTAAATGTTTTAATTTAGTTTATCTCTAGGAAAGGGTCGTTTATTGACACATTATAACACCGATGAAGATTTAACCCCAACAGCAAAAGTTACGAGAGGTCTACAGCAAACGGATGAAATAGGGTAAGATCTCATTTTTTTCCTTAATGTCTTAATCAGATGTTTAATACTTTTATTTCATTTTATACAGCACAGGTAAATTAAACACCAAGTCAATGCCCCTGATGCATAAATTAAGACAAGTAAATCAACATAAAGCTCCGTAAGTCGGTACATATACTAACTTTATATAACAAGTTTTATGAGAGGTATATTTTTTTTCTAGAGCAATTCTATCACGCCGCAACGGACACAAAATAACTAATCACGGGGATGATGATGATGATGATGATGATAAAAGGTGAGTTACATATTATAATTTTATAATGATAGAGGTTATAATTTTCTTCTCACTATTTTAGCTCATCAGAGGGTGGCGAAGACACAGAGAATCACCCCTCAGTAAACCAGGATTTCAACATAATCGATTTTATAGCGACACTGGACATTGATGCCATTATACGCGATGAAGGTATACCAAACAACGATCAAGATGTATTAAACGCAGGAACACCATTCCCGGACCTTGAGGAATACTTTGAACCACTATCTGGACACACAGCAGCAGCTCCTGATGCAGCAAAAGGGCCTATAAAGAATGCTTTAACACCAAAGGTGAATACTTTACAAGAAAACACACATCTGTTAAACAACACTAGTGAAAAAACGTTTGTGAAAACAGAGCTCTCCAACATACGCGAGGAATTGAAGTCAAGCAAGGCACGTTGTGTTAGTGCAGAGATACATACAGACAGGTGTCTAGCAACTGTGAGCCAGCAAGTAAAATACACAGAGGCCCGTATACTTAACGAAATACATCAGTTAAAGAGACAAGTTCACCATATTCAAACTGAGCACGTAAAAGTTACTAAACAAGTGTTGGTGTTGCAAAATCAGCGTACAAACGCTACCATACACAGAGCTAAACTACGGGCTAGAGGCCAACGAGCCCAACTACAGACACGCGCGCTTCAACGAGAGGTCCTACAATTGCAAACTCAATACACGAAAACCTCTATACACAACAGGGAATTAGAAACAAAAACCTTACGCGGGGAAATACAAATTCAAAATTTGACTACCGAAATCAAGCAGCTTAAAAACACGGGAAACGTAATAGCTGATAGAATTGAACAAGTGGATAACCAAGCGAGCACGTCTATAGCGGCTGCTATAGAGCAAATCAATGAAAACACTTCTCATTTGAAAGCCATCGAAAATGCTTACGATTGTGAAACACACTAAAAGGCCTAACGCTACAGCACCCTCACAACTTCCTAAAAAAATAAGAATTAATTATGGCCAGCGCTCTAACACTTATGCATGTGTGGAACGTTTAATTCGTACTAATTATCAAGCAACGCGTAACACGTATCCGTGTATTGATCGACTAATTCGCACAAATCATCAAAGTGCATCCCATGCTGCAGAACGGTTAATAGCACCGACCCATGTCATAGCTGAAAGGCCTCCGCTAGCAGACATTACCTCAAATGCTGATAATGTTGTTAACCAGTCAATAAGTAAAGATACTATTCAACCCGCAATACAACACCCTACAAACAACTGTGTGGGTATAAATAGTCAAACTATAGAAATGGATACACAAAATGACGAGTCACCTAGACACAGCTCTGTTTTAAATCGACACAACAATGTTACAACTGTTTCAAGAAATTGTATAGTTCACACAGAGGCAGACCTCCGGGGGGACAATGCTAATGAGGGTAACGATACCATACAAGTGGGGGGTGTTGTACAGATTACTGAACAAAGTGATATCCCCGTTAACGTACAATCAGGTGGGGAGGTCCATGTTAACATAATACCAGAGTTTAATACCACGGTAATGTCTGAGCACATTGATTTTCGAGGTATAGATCCTACAGATACCGTAAAGGCTTGTGAAAGAGTAAATGAAAAATTAACAGGGTTAATAACACACGCTGTAAACAATACAGAGCAAGGATGTGTGATGAATGTTGCATTACGAGGGCCCTCGCTTAGTGACGATATTCAAGTTATTTTGAACTCTGACAATGACTACAATGTTGACCATTTTTTAGAGGAAGTGGAAAAAGTGTTACAAAGTAACGACAAGTCCATTATAGAAGATGAAATGACATTAATAGTGAGTATAGCACATTCACAAAGTGGTGGTGGTCAGCGGCTCAAACTTGGTGCTGTAGCCTACGACACAATATTGCTAAAGAAAGGTAAATTTCTTTATAACCCTCACAATACCGAAAATGCCATGTGTTTTGCCATGTGTATAGCTCATGCATTTCATGCGAACTATACCCATAGTAAATTACTCGATAAAGCCAAAGAGTGGCAAGCCGCAGTTGGTCTGGATCAACAAACAAACGTGACACTGAATGATGTGTCAAAGTTTGAGAATCTGTTGAACATAAAAATTGTTGTTTTTCACAACAATCCACCGACTAAACGTCTTCAATCATTTGAAACACAGGATAGAATGCACGAATGCACAATAGCCTTATACCTTTATGAGAATCATTACTATCATATCAAAAATAAAACGGGGTTCTTTGGGAGTCCATATGTGTGCAAATACTGTCTCAAGCCATACGGTGCTAGTTTGCAGCATCTCTGTAAATACCTATGTAACATCTGTTACACGCAATGTGAAACCGTAGGGAAAAACAAAACAATTAAATATCCTGAATGTAAACGCATCTGTAAATCTTCCCACTGCTTTAATCAGCATAAACTACCTGACCCCGTCCACGATAGAATACCTTGCTTTTCTGTGACATATTGTGAAGAATGTAAACATCTGTATCACAACACAGCTAAAAAACACGTGTGTAAAATTCCAATATGCATCCACTGTGATGCTGAGCTCCCTGAAGGTGGTGAAAAGCAACATAGCTGTTACATCAAACCTTTAAAAGTGGTTCAAGAGACAACCAACTACATTTTTTATGATTTTGAGACAAGGTACGATGGTAACAAGCATGTCCCCGTGTTAGTCTGTACGCTTGATCAGGCTGGTGATAAATATAACTTTTCACACGATGGTTGTGTTAAACGAATGTTGAAATATTTTAGAACACCAAAGTTTCGTGATTACACATTCATAGCACACAATGCAGCGGCTTTTGACAACTATTTAATTCTAGAAGAGTTCGCGAGACAGGGGCTAACCCCTAGTCTCACTGTGAGAGGCACACGTGTGCTCTGCATGTATGACAAGCGACTTAGACAAAGATGGCTGGACTCGATCAGTTTTCTGCCTATGCGTTTAGCACGTATACCTGAAGCATTAGGGTTTGATGACCTAGAAAAGGGTCATTTCCCTCATTTATTTAACACCAAAGAAAATGAGTGTTATATAGGCCCCTACCCTGAACCGGCCTTTTACGGCGTTG